ATCTCTTCTTCTCAGTCTAAATCTTTCAAGTTTCTTTCTTGCAAAGTGTGTGTCGTTGAAGCAAACTATGCATGACGGCTGCTAAAAAAAAAAAGAGAGATTAGATGTTTAAGATGAAGGAGAGGAAAATGAAATCAAATCCACTGAGGCTAGCCTTAAAAGTGTTTTGTTCTCAATAAAACTAAAGTGTCTGAATGTGTGAGACCACACAAATGAGATTATTCCAGCCATAAATCCATAAGTTATGCATTTAAGAGGAAATTTATATTTTAAAGGTCTTTTTTATTCTATTCAGCCCATTACTCACTGTCTGAAATGAAACAGACTTTGCTTTTCCCTGTATATGGAGATCAGGGAAAGAGAGAGAAAGAGAGAGAGCAGGGGTCGCAGTATACGAATGAACCTTTAGTGCTTCACTCGAGACAAAGATGTTAAGGAGCAGTTCTTCTGGAAAAACAACAGGGGTCGCAAAACAAACCATTAGTCATTTTATCACACTTCCTTTATCTTCTGTAACTTCAAACATTTTAAAGGAACCAAACATAAATGCTCCCCATTGGGATCACTTACAAACACAAATGCATAAACACAGTTAGCCTCTATGTTGTCTACTGCTTATGTTGACACCGTCAGCAGTCTTCCAAGAAAACATCCGAACTGATATCTAACCTCATAATTGACCAATTAGAACACTGTTCACATAAGAGGTCATATTTTTTTTATTTTTTTTTTGACTATGAATCATACGGTAGACTTGACTCACTGATTCCAATGGAATTTGATAAAGTAATTTTCAAGTTAGCTCTAAATAACCCAATTTAAATTAGACTGAGCTCTATGTCAGACTTTATACTGGCACTGAAAGAAAGTATAAACGACTCTGCTATCTTTTAGACTTTTTGCATCCTGATGAATTTTGGGATTGTTAGCATTGGCGCGAGGGTTGGGCAATATTGCCTTTTCCTTCCAGCAACCTCTCACATGACACTGCAGAAATTAGCAAATGACACTGATCCAGCAATCCAATCAATTCCCAATGGTCATAATAATCTCCAACTCTACATTATTAATAATTAGGGCCCTATGAGTTCTGCAATCACGGAATCACAGACGGAATTGCGGAATTGGCAAATTAACGTGGAATCTAGTGTTAAAGGGATACTCCACTTTTTTTGGAAACAGGCTCATTGAACAACTCCCCCAGAGTTAAACAGTTGAGTTTTACCGTTTTCGAATGTATTCAGCCGATTTTCTGATATTTAGAAGAATATCAGTAACCAGACAGTTTCTGGTCTCATTGACTTCCATAGTATTTTTTCCTACTATGGAAGTCAATGACACCAGAAAATACCTGGTTACTGATATTCTTCTAAATATCAGAAAATCGGCTGAATGGATTCGAAAACGGTGAAACTCAACCAGTGTTGTAGTCGAGACCACCTCACTCGAGTCCGAGTCGACACCGAGACCAGAGAGAGTCGAGTCCGAGTCAAGACCAAGTCCATAGAGAGTCGAGTCCGAGACCAGAGACGGTCGAGTCCGAGTCGAGATTACCTAATGTACTTTTATTTACTTAGAGAAATCCTTTTTTTTTTTTTACTGAATTTACTTAGATTTTAAAAAATATGATCAGTTTAGGGTAAAAAAGGCCACATAGTAGGTGGTGTTAAAAGTAATTTTATTACAATTTGTCATGCGCAGTTGCGCACTAGAAAATCACCAATCACTGGGCGTGTCAATCAATTTAAAGAAATATTTTATTCACATACATTAATAATCATGAAAGATATTTTTAATTGAACTCGAGTGGACTCAAATGAAAAAAACAAATGTTCGAGTACGAGTCAATTCCGAGTCCAAATGGACACGAGTCCATGACAAGACCAAGACCATTAAAATATGGTCTCAAGACCGAGTCCGAGACGAGTCCGAGTCTCGAGTACTACAACACTGAACTCAACTGTATAACTCTGGGGGAGTTGTAAAAGGAGCCTATTTACAAAAAAAAAAAAGTGGAGTATCCCTTTAACGCAGAATTTCATGGAATTTGACATATTTGCTTTGACATTTTGTTTTTGTGTGGGAGAAGAACGTATGTCTGATGAAAATGCAGACTAGGGGAAGCAAATCTGGGCGACACAACCCCAACCACCCCCCCACCCCCCAACCTGTCATTTCAGCTCAAATGACGCTATAACCTGTCAGTGCCGAGCCGAGCAGTTTGCATATCCCACACATTCACCACACATTGACTAATTCGCCGCCACATATTGCGTTTCGTTCAGTTTTTAAACACTATTTAAAACATGTAGCGTATTCTTTCACTTGTATTTCCTTTACCCGCTCTCCCTTTGTCTCTCTATCACTCACGCGTCTCTCTCACATACATATACACACACAACGTCGGACTATGAGGCGCCGGACTGGACAAAAGCGAAGCGAACTCCGCGGGCGACACTGGGCGAGAGAGAGACAGAGTCTGACTTTATTTAAACTTATATAAACTAATATAATTGGACAGTTGAAAGCTAATAACCATATTTTTTTTTGTTGCATAATGCAGTATTTGTCCTAAAAAGGCTACTGAGTAAATATCTGTTACCTCAATAAATTTAAGGTCATTCATATTTTATTTCTATACATTTGAATCATTAACGTTAAAAGCACACTCTTTTTACGACTAAAATACTGTAACAGTCAAGGGTAAAAAAAATGAATTCCCAAAAATTAAAACGGAAAAAAATAAAACAGATTTCATAGGGCCTTAAATAAGCCAAGAATATGATCTCAACTTCCATTTTCGTGACAATTTTAAGAGTCACATTAATCATTGTTATGCACATTTTTGCAAGTGAAATTCATTAAAGGGGTCATGAACTGGCTTTTTAAATTTTATTGTATTGTTGTTTGAGGTCAACTTATGACATTCGCTTGGTTTTACATTCAAAAACATCAAAATGAATAAGTAATAGGCTATTTTGTACCCTAGTTTTGAGCCTAGCTGGGTGTCTCGCATTAAAGACTAGGAAGTAAACGCCCACTGCTGTGAGTGGATAAGAGTTTTGCATATTATAATGAGTTTCAACTCACCTGTGGAAATTGTTTTGAAAACGTCCAATGTTACAAAATGGCAACCAGAATGATTCGCCCACACAGGTTCGACCCAGAGTCCGTGTGTTGCACAATTCCTGTCAGATCCAGTTTAGACGGCACTTAATCGTTCTGCAAATCCAGTCTTGTTTACAAAACAATCCTCAGTGAAATTAAGCGAACAGACGGACAATGTTTTACCCTCATCAGCTGGAACACCATTAAAAATAAAGTTTATCCATGCAGTCCTATTGGAATCCAGAGGAAGCGTATGCAGCGACTGTCTTCCACAACCAGGCACTGCACAATATTTTGTATTGCTCGGTAGCTCGATCCAGTTTGTCATCACAAGGTAGGTATCTATGTTATTTAGCTATGCGTGTACTGCGCGAATCGGTGGACGGGGCTAAACCGGCCGTGTTGAAGTAGGCGTTGATCTTCTTCTGCGGGGGTGGTGTTTTATCCTCTTTGACATCATAGTTCCACACTTTGAAAAAACGAGTCGTTTGCTGAGGCTGGTGTCAATAAAAGCTTTAATTGGACTAACAAAGACGTTTTCAGTTCTGAAACTTACTGGATATTCTTATAATATGATGACCTTTTAGATGTCAAAAGATCAAGGAAAATTAGATTTTTCAGTTAATCACCCCTTTAAAATTCCAATAGGTAATTTCATTAGGAATCCACGCAACCGTGAATTTTGCATGAGGACGAAAGATTTCTGGACGCAGATTTCACAAAAGGTTCAATTGGGTTCAATATATTCACAACATTGACCAACAAGAATCTGCTTGGTTTGAAAGTGACTTCTGTGTGAGCTGTGCTTCAAACATCGCTACACTACTGACGATGGACATTTTTGCCTGCAAAATTATCACTAATGTGAATGCACCATTAGAATTGTCAAAACTAGGTATCCTAAGAGGGAGCATTAGGTGTAAAATGAGAGGTGGAGCTACCTGACATCATGACTAATAAAAAAAGAAAAACCGGATGGCTTGATTTAGTATTTGTCTGTAACCCAATGTAGTTGCAGACTTTGTGCATCCCTGATGTATTATTCATGTAATGTAGTTAAAAATGTAAAGGTTTAAAAGAGCAGCTGGTAACTGTGTGATAACCATTGAGCTATTAAGTCTTTTGGATTATTCTCACGTCTTTTTTGGTTATGTTATAAGGCTTTATAAATAAATGAGGCTGCATATTGCAGGAAGTGTTTTAACATTTAGAAAGTCAATAAGGCCCTGGGGCTTGACCTTGAACCTTTGGTGTTTTTTTTTTATTACTGGAATAGTATTACTGGAATAGTAAGTGATATCCGCCGGATGTCACTTGCGAGATGTGACGAGTGATCACACACGTCAAACACATTAACCATACTATCTCTTCAGGATTTCACTGGTGTGTTTGCTTTGAGTTCTGAAGCACACACACCAAGAGAAACCAGAGGCATGTACCATGAAGCTAGCTATGAACAAACTCTGGGTTACAGGATTGTTTTCAATTTGACAAAACCAAACAAACCCAATCAGGTTTTGTTAGTATATCAACTTTGTCAACTCAGGCTTTGTCAACTCAACGCTGCAAATACAAATTGTGAATAGAAACATTTGACATTCTTCAGAGCACAAACAAAGATATGCACTGGATCCATAGCCAAATCTGTTTTGCCTGTTATTACAGACACAACTGATCCTAGACCTGTAGTTATGGTCAGTTTTTCCCTTTAAAAGCAATCAAAAGCAGCGGCAGACAGTGGAAGGTTAAGCAAATCATGTTATGCTTCTGACAGTCTAACCGCACTTGCCCATCAAAACTTGTCCCGCACTGCACTCAGTTGGGTCCCGCAGGAGAGTAGGTTTCAAGCATAAAGGTATTTATAGTATGCAATATGCATACTCATTACTTACCAAGCGCCTTCTCTCCTCTTCCATGGTGTTTAGCAGCTGGGAAAACTCTTTGAAGGACTGAGCTGGAGGAGAAAAACAGAGTTATTAATCAATCTGCATTCGCTGGTTAAAGTTCAGACTTATATAATAAAACTAACTTGATTCATGTGAGTCAATAGAAATGGAATTTAGTAAATGCTGTTAGCATTGGTTTATTGTCACAGCTACTTCTATAAACGAATTAACATTTAATGAGAATGCAGAATGAACAATGGCGATTTTACTACGAATTTAAATCAATATGGAACAGTTAAAAAAGACCTTCCACCACTTCTAGTCACCTAAAAGGTATGAAAGAGAAGCGTACATTAATTTATGCACAACTCACAGAGCACTTATAGGCTTTTAGACGCTGCTGATCGGTTTCAGGTACTAAAGCGAAATTAAAATTACAATTTTACATTTCATGTCATCTGACATTAGCGATGAATGCCATGTGATGAATCAATCTGGAGCTGCAGGGCAATGACATAATGACAATTTCACGCTTTAAATGTCTCCAATAAAGGGTTAGTGTTAGTGCCTAAAAAGATCAAAAGATTTATTCAATCAGAATATAAAGCTATCAATGAATGGCTGTCAATTGAGAATTTTATGTCTAACATCTACTAGCAGCGTCTAACGAGCAAAACCTTGACCCAGGGGAAGCCACTACATTGAAGGTTGTTTAATCCCAGGTAGAAGTGACCTGTCACCTGGAAATTAATTTAATTCCCACAATCCCCACTAAGTCCTTTTTTTATTTTTTATCTGAAAAATTACAGATAACTAAGCCGATGTGTAACCTTGATCTTAATTTGCACATACATAACATATACCATACACTCAAGTGAAATGAAAAAGTTCAACGAAATGGATGTTTGAATTTATGGTTAGCATAAAAAAAGATATGAGTGACATAAGTAAGGTATAAACTAGGGATGCACGATATATCGGCCAGCATATCGGTATCGGCCGATATATGTTAATTTTTAATGTTTTCGTTATCGGCCTGGTAAGAAAATGTGGTCGATATATTAAAGCCGATAAATAATGTATTATTCCCTTCAGCTGAGACACTTGTTGAGAACTGTTATGTTTTTGAATTTCTTGAAATATGATTGAAATCTCTTCAAAAAATTAAAATCTGGTTCGGGACAACGCAACGCAATGTGCAACGCAAATCTGTCATATCGGCTATACAACACTATAATGAGAACATCATTATAATTGTGCGCTTGGGACATAGATTTAATTGTGAGACTTTTGTTTTTGTAATCAAGCTCTCAGAATTAGATAAAAATTTGTATTTAAGTTTATCGGCCGATATATCGGTTATCTGCTTTCAAATATAAAGAATTATCGGTTATCGGTATCGGCCAAAATTTTCATATCGGTGCACCCCTAGTATAAACAACCAACTGGTTGTTATCGCAGAATAAACCCGACAGGGTGATCAGGACCTTGACGCGAAGCCGTGTAATAACAGTCATTAAGGGACAGATTGTTAAAAACGGGTCCTTGTGGTAATTAAAGTATGTCGGGCAAGAAATCCAAACATTTGCGTATGTAGGTACTGTAGTAGCAACTTTACACGGCTGCTCGCTCTAACCTAGATAAATGTGTGCTGCTATCCAAGTTTTTATGTGGAGTGTGGAAGCTGAAGTTGCATAACACATTTACTGCATGATATGGAGGCGCCAGCGCGATCACTTGCATTTAACTTAAAATATACCATCATGTTTGCACTTATATCAAGAGTAGCCAAATACATCATTCAAAGTTCAGACAGTCTCCTTACTTTTTTTTTCACAAAACATTCATAACCATTACTTTTGCCGGTGCGCTGCAGCAATCTTAATGTGTGCGCTTGAGCACTGATTAGGCTATGTGTTATATATATAGGCAATTAAAGGATCATTATTAAGATTTATGTGGCTTATTAATTATCACAAACTGCTCTGAGACAAAGGTTGAGGATCTAAATGTAGTACTTATTTAAAGGGTTATTCACAATCATAATCCAAATCCAGGCAAGGGTCATACACAAATAAACAATCCAAACAGTAACATATAAGGACTGAGGCAATGAGAGAAATGGGAGCCGACAGGCAGAGAATCAGGGTGAAACAGGATATAAACACACTCAGAAATGCAGTGAGACACATACACGACTTCGCAGGGAATGCATCTCCTGGGAATGTTTCCCTTCGCAGGGAATGTTTCTCCCATCTCCTGGTTTTCTGGATTCTCTGCCTGTCCCCTCGGATTTCTCTCTTTGCCTCAGCCCTTATCATTTTGAAATTGTCAAATAATAAATGAATAAAGAGGAATTAAACACTGCTACCAAAAGTGCACTCAGTAACCTGTTAAGTTTGTGTGTGCTGGGAATCATATATTTTTATTTTATTTTACATACAACACAATGAAAATGGCATGAATTGGGCAACTGATTACACAGAAATTGAAATCATGGGTTTAAAGTTTGTCGATTGTGACAACTGAACTCTCTTGCTTGGATTCAACACTCACCGTTACACACAGAGTACATCCTCTTAAGCAGAGGTGAGAGTAAGTCACTAAATGCAAGTCTCAAGTCAAGTCCAAGTCTTAACATTGTAAGTCAAAGTCAAGTCAAGTCATTCTGTTGAAAGGGTCAAGTCAAGTCAAGTCATACTCTTTGTCAAGTCAAGTCAAAGTCAAGTCATTCTGTTGTAAGGGTCAAGTCAAGTCAAGTCATACTCTTTTCCAGTCAAGTCATACTCTTTGTCCAGTCAAGTCATACTGTTTGTCCAGTCAAGTCATACTCTTTGTCAAGTCAAGTCAAGTCGCAACGTAGTCATCACGTCATACCAAGTTGCACACAGGCTAGTTTTACACATTTAACTCTGGGACTTTTATTACTTTATTTAGACAGAGAGGGCTGATGGGTTACAAAAATAAATAAATTAACTTAAAATATAATATCATATCATTAAGAAACACTTCAAATGCTCTAAAATAAAAATAAATTAAATGAACACAAGCAAACAAGAATTAATACAACTTTTCCCATCTTCTAAAAAATAAAAAATAAATAATAAATAAAAAGGTATTGCATTCTAAATTAGTACTGTATGCCAAAATTTGTATGTTCTTACTCTAGGTACCCTACATTTATGGTGCTTCCTGTTCCAGTAGCGTCATAACCAGCCAAAACATTGACCCCTTGTGAATATATGAAATAAATTTACTTGTTAATGAACTGTGTTGAGCTTGAATTCCAAAACTATTGCATGTAGTGCTTCACTAAGACATAAGCATCCTTCAAAATAATACCAGCCACCTCACCCTCGGCCTCTTGCTGTGGCACAACGGCAGCTTGTGAATTCTCAGACAAGTGTTTGCATGCCACTGATGGCTCCATTGTTTCATTTAAACAAGATGTGGATGAGAGACAGCTGCTGTCTCCCCTGGATGGATTTTACCTCTGTTTGGGCTTGGACACTTGGTCAACTTCAGCCTGCCAACTCTATAAACACAATTATCAAACGATCAGCCCAGATAGCCTGTCCACTCTATTTGTTTCTATTCACGCTTCCTGGCTTTTAGCAGCCACAGCTGAACGAAAGACTGCCATCTCCCAAAAGACTCCCAAAACACCCATTAATGCCAGCCAAGCACACAACACACTCAATATTAGGGCAGGGAAGTATAATTTTTCTAGCTACTGTATATCTATTTTTTTTTTAATTCAATACATAGTTCAATAGTTCTATACACTCACATAAAGGATAATTGGGAACACCTTACTGATAGGATATCATCTTGCAGTTGATGGTGAGCAAATAATGTTTGATGTGGGGAAAAACTGCAAACCTGTTAACTCTTGCTTGAAAAACGAGAGATTCATCATGTTAAATGCTAATTAATGGCTTGGTTTCACAGACAAGGTTTAGATTAAGCCAGGATTAGGCCTTAGTCCAATTAGGATATTTAAGTAGCTTTTATAACCATGCCTTAGGGAAAAAAAAAAAAAAAAACATTACTGGGGTACATCTTGAGACAATACAAGTCGACTTCAGATAAAACTGCTCAAACATGGCATTAAAGGGTTAGTTCACCCAAAAATGAAAATTCTGTCAGTATTTACTCACCCTCATGTTGTTCCAACCCCGTAAGACCTTCGTTCATCTTCGGAACACAAATTAAGATATTCAAGATATTAAGATCGCTCCTGCATACAGTCCATAGGCTTCTTGAGGGACTGGCTCTTGCTGTCCCCGAAAAGTCATTAAAGACATTGTTAAAATAGTCCAAGTGACTACAGGGGCTCAATCTTAAGTTTATCAAACGACGAGAACACTTTTGTGCGCAAAAAAACAACAAAAAATAACGACTTTATTTCAACTATTCACTTCCTTCTCCATGGGCCTGTAGTCAGTTAACGTAGTGTGATTGCGTAGAGCTACGTCACACGTAGGCTCACTATTGGCCGACGCTGGTCATGTGTGTGTGATGCGTGTGACGTACAATAACAGAAGCTTACGCCATTAAACTAGTAACCTGACTCGCGCAGAGGGAGAAATAAACGAATAGTTGAAATAAAGTCTTTATTTTTGTTGTTTTTTTGCGCACAAAAGTGTTCTCGTCGTTTGATAAACTTAAGATTGAGCCCCTGTAGTCACTTGGACTATTTTAACGATGTCTTTAATGACTTTTCGGGGACAGCAAGAGCCAGTCCCTCAAGAAGCCTATGGACTAGTGTGCAGGAGCGATCTTAATATCTTAAATATCTTAATTTGTGTTCCGAAGATGAAAGAAGGTCTTACGGGGTTGGAACAACATGAGGGTGAGTAAATACTGACAGAATTTTCATTTTTGGATGAACTAACCCTTTAAGTCTGGGACTATGCTTAACCCTTGTCTGTGAAACTGGGGGAATGTGTTATTGTCGCGATAAACTCAACTCGTTTAGCCCTAAACTTACAGTATGAGTTGTAGTCTGAACACGTTTTTGCACCCCCTTTTGATTGACAGGATATAAATCATGTGATTTTTGGCT